GTCAAGTTGAACAAGCAAACCATGTTTGTATTTTAAAATGAACTTTTTTGCAGCTAAATTAATGAACTAAAATATTGCTACAAGAGTCAACTGAAATATAATTATAAAAATTACATATTTCATATAATCAAACATTTGTTTTCTTTTTTAGACCAAAAGTTCCTCAAAGCATTTCATGGTCTTAAAGCATCATAAACTAAACAATAAAAAATCCCTTGTCAATTCATTTCATGGCCAAAACGTTTTACAAAAGATAAACAATAGTGTATATAAGAAATTGTTAATCAACCCACTTTTTAACTAAATCAACCCATCCCATGAAAAGGGGTATATATTACAATGGAGCAAAGGAATGTCTACCCAATTGCATTGTTTTGTGATTATTTCCAAGAGTTTGCCGTGATGGAGGTGCTTTGTGAGCTCCACTTTTGTATCTTTGCATGATTTACAAAAGGTGTTGGATCTTTCATTTGTGATTCTTGTTTGAATGGGTTGATTTAGTAAAAAGGTGGGTTGACTTGAAAATTCTTTTTGCATCTATGTATGTATCAAAAAAATTAAAATCTACTCTCAGTATTTTGTAGTTTTAAAAAATTTAATAAAAAAAAATCTAAATTAATGATTTAATATGCTTTAGTATAATTTTGATAAATTCCTAAAACATAATAAGATGAAATCTAAATACATTCAAAGATATACAAAATAAAGAATAGTGGAAAAAGAATACAAGAATGTAAATTGATTTGAGATTTAGAAAAACATTTTTTTAGTTAATTAAATTGTGTGTGTATGTATGTATGTATGTATGTATGTATGTATTAAAATTTTAATTGGAAGTTTTCAGCTTTAGATACATGTATTTTTAGAAAAATATAATTAATTTTTTTAATGTAAATGGTTGATGTAACGTGAACTCATTTCCTACTTAAAAGCATTCAAATGTATATTTAAACAGTTCTGAATATAAATAATGGTTATGATCTTTTATTGATAGTGTTCATTATATTTTTAGATAACTAAATTAGATCTAAATATAAATTTTATAAAATTATGGTAGTTGAGCATATTCCAAGCTGGTATCAGAATAATTATAATTACAATTTTATACTTCTTCAATGCATTTTACTTTTGAAAAGATACATTCTTACTTAGAAAAAGTTTTGATGTTAAATAAATAATCTGATATTGATTCTCCAGAAAAGATAACGGCATCATTAAAAATACTGATTCCTGTCTTCCGAAGAATCCCAAACATAATGGATACTGAAGATTCTACTGTAATGATATTCAGAAGTAAATTTCAAAAACGTGCACCATTCTGAGAGGTTCTAGATTTCTGAAGAGTATTTTTCAATTCCATGTTTTAATTGTACATCATTGTTAGAATGATTTTAGACTATTTAAGAAATAAATAAATAAATAAATACATCAAATCAAATCAACCAAGCATTTTTAAAAATCAAATTAATTTAATGTATACGCATTTTGCAATGATCAGATGATGATTGAATCAATTTCTGTAAATTTTATAAAGTTGAAAATGTTTTCTGTAGATTTATGATAAAAAATAAAAAAATACTAATTAATCGTACTTGTTACTATTTATTTTCTGTGGGTAACGTTTTTTGAAATGTCTGAATATGTGTATTCATGTTTCGTGTATGTCTGAATATATGATTGAACACTTTTTTTATATTCATATGTCCTTTTATAATCGATTCTTCAATTCATGATTGGAATATTTATTTAGAAAACGTTGGATGTTGATGAATACATTTAGAATGAACAGAAAGACATAATTGAAGTATTTTTCATGTATAGTACAAACTTTATTGGTAATTACATCAAGTCGCATAAGATTCATTGAAAAAACCAAAATTGTTAATAAACCTTACTAACAGTTCTTAAATGAAGAATGCCACAATTAAAGTTCAACATTTTTTGCTGGACCTTTGATAATTCATTTTTCTAGACCTTCAATGAGTCACTTTTATTTTACTCATATGATGCCAGAGGATATTATACAAATATTTCATTGCGAGGAATTAAGTGTTGTAAAAAAATAAAAATAATACTTAGTGAAAAACACAGAATTATATATGTTTCATCACAATGGACATGACATTTGAACCTCCAAATCTGTCATTGAGGGATTGTTGAAATCTTTTGAGAAATTCTTTGTGCAAAAAGACAACCTCAAAAATCTTTTTACAGATACATAACACTTGCAAGAAGAATTTTTGTAGCATGAAACATGTAAATAAATAAAATGAAGTGAAGAAAAATCATAAATTCAGGTATTTGTGGAAAAGATTTTGTGACCCCACCAATATGTATTTAAGTTTATTTTTATCAAAACTTATTGATTGATGTTGAATTCAAATCTTAACCAATTTTAATTCAAAGGTCAATTTGACCCATTTACTCAAAACACAATGGCTCAATTATTACTCAAATTCCATGTTCCTTATTTTGAGTAATAATAACTAAAGTAAAATGAAATCCAATCACATTTACAGTAAAAAATAAAAATAAAAATAAAAAGTTATTCACTATTTTCCCCTGTCCTTCTACACTTCAAATTTTAATAGATCACCTCAATCTAAAAAAATCACACACCCATTTTTCAACCTCCTCTCCATATACACTGTAACCCACATATGCAAATCACCATCATAATAGATATTTTCAAATATGTAGAAATATAAATATAAATATAAACAATTGCCCCAAAAATTGATACAAGCATTGTACATATGAAACCCTAATCCAAAAACTGAGAAACATTCATTGGAAGCCATTAGACGATAACCCAAAGACAGATAAACAAAAAAAAGTGACAACCACTCTAACCTCTGCCAAATTTGGGGACAGAGTCAGGTAAGCCTGTTTCTCTGTCTCTCTCTACATATCTGTTTGTATATATATCTATATATACATATATCTGTATGTATGTATGTATGTATGTTGCCTGTGTGGAAAGAGAGATACAATTGTTCATTATATTGCACCAAAAGAGCAAACCCCTGAAATTGTTTTGTCTGGGAAGGGTGTTAATAGTGGTACAATTCCCTGCCTTGGTATTCGATTCAGTCCTGCACCAATTGTGAGCGACTCACTCTCCCTCCTCTCAAGTGTCCATTATCCAACCCTAAATTAGTAAGCAAGCTTGTACACAAGTTGTCTACTATTGTGCATTAAAACTCTCTCATTTGCCTCCCTCTCTACTACTGGTCATGCTTCTGTCATGTTGCCAAATTGGCCCTTTCCTTGTAACTGAAACCAACTGTCTGGCTATGGCCTTGTTGTTGGTTTGTGAGAGTACCTACCAACTTTGGTGGAGCTGGAACCACTTTCCTGCTATATTTGGCAATGGGGGTGCAGTAGTTTTTGATGAGGGAGGGTGGTGCTGTATTCACAGTCATTTTGTGATTTGTCATGTTGTTGTTGGAATGGGGTGGGATTCCCCAAAAGGGGTGTGTGTGTGGGTGTGTGGAAAACTTGCAACAAGGTCACAGGGATCAGAAGAAAGCAATGAATTCATGGTCCCCAACAACTTCCCTCAAGACCCCAGCTGAACTATTTATATGACCTTTGTACTCATGCAGGGCTACCTGGCAGGAGAGGGGAGGGGGCTTGAATGACGAGATATTGTCTCTTTCCCCGCCTTCAACGTACACCCCCCCCACTCATAGACATGGATCCAGCTCTCATGCCTTCTCCACTGCCTAGGCCCTGAAAGAAACAAAGAAAAAGAAAAGCAGCAGCAACAACAACACAACCAAACAAAACAAAATCCACATACAACGGAACTATTCTCACCCCAGGTTGGCAGCAGTTCTCTTCTGTTTCTTTTAACTGGGTGGGCTTTTATGGGTTCGTTTTGTATGGCATTGATGAGATTCAGTGGGCAGAGTGTGTCCCCTAAAGGCTGCCAAGTAGCAAGCACACACTCATACTTGCAAACCCAGACACTACCAAGGTATACATAGTATGAGTAAATGGCTCTGCAGGCAGGTGTTGTAATACAGTGGGGCTGATCCAAGGCTTGGAACATGTGAGGTTTCTTACACACCCCTGAAGTGACATTTATGCACAGTGCCATTGCATAATGGGAGGGGGGGATGTTAGTATTAAGCAGTGCATATAGAGAGTGTACATCAGCCATGTTCATTCAAAGCCAGGGAATTCCATCATAATATTGCAAGGTACCCCTTGAAACCCAAAGATGTTTTTGTACTCTCTGCCCCCCAGTCTGAATGCACCCCCTTGTAATCCAGATTAAAGCACTGCCACATCCACTTCAGTATTTTTATACTCCTTATTATGTGAATGTGGGTTTTTTCTTTTGCATAACTTTGCTCTACTTTAAGAAGGCCAAAACTGAAACTGGTGCAATTATCCACAAGACTTCAGTGATAACTTTTGAGAAGCCAAAAGTCCAGATGATGTAGAGAGTGAATGCTGCTTTTGAAAAACAAAGTGGCCGAGGTAACACTGCTGCAACATATAATTAACTCAAAGTGAACTTTACCCTTTCTGGTTTCATTTTTTTCCTTTAATATCAAACCCATTTCCTTTAATATCTCACCCATTTCCATTTCTGTTTTAGGATCCAAACAAGACTGACTTTCAAGCCACCACAATAGGTCAATTCCAAGCACAAAATCACACTCAAGAAGAAACAGAAAGAAAAGAAAAAAGAAAAAAAAAGAAAAAAGAAAAAATAGACAAATCCGGAACCAAAGGTTTCCTCAATCACGACCAGCAACTCATCTTTACACAACGGTCCTCTTTTTCTTTTCATGGGGTAGGTCAAATTCTTCTTCCGGATAATTTTTATTTATTTATTTATTGTTTGTTCACAGCACTAGAAACAATTCAAACCCCATGCAAAATAGAAAAGAACGGAGCACGAGAAAGAAAAAGATCCAGAATTGCAAAAGAGAAGGCGCAGGTGGATGTGGGACCGGGACCGGAAGCAGCGCTGTCTTGAAGGGAAGAGGATTGCAATTGCATCGCAATGCAAAGTTAAGGGGCTCGTGCTGAAGATCCATTCATATTGCTACTTTACTACCCCTGCTGCTGCTGCTGCTTCTATTGTTGTTGTAATTGTTGTTGTAATTGTTGTGGATGTTGTTGTTGTAGCGATGCATGCTTGTTTGCTGTGTGGGTTTTGCTTCCGAATGTGAAGCTGTGGGTAGTTTGTTTGATACTCCCCCCGTTGGGACCAAGCTTGCTTACTTGCTTGCTTGGCACCATGAAGTCTGCGGAGACCGAGACCGAGGGCGCATGTTCCTCGTCGCGTTCGGGCTCGGGCTCGGCATCGGGATCGTATTCCGGTGCGGAGATCGGAGCGGTTGGAATCGGTGTGGTGGGACGTAGTCGACGGAAGAGGAGCTCACGCATGCGTACTTTTAGCTCGGGCACGGCAGCGTTGGCTCTCGTTGTGTCCACTGCGGAGGGCCAGACGCGAGAGCGGAAACATGAGCGGAGCTCGCAGTACAGAGGTGTTACTAAGTGCGTGCTTCGAGCTTCGAGTTTTGGTTTTGGTTTTGTCGAGTTTTGTTTGGGTCTGTTTACAGGACGGTGGTGCAGTCGTTGAGGCTCCGCTCTGAATGTTTTTAGCTGTTGTCATTAAATTGTTTCGTGAGGAGTGGTTGATGAATTGTCCAGGGATTGGTGTGCCGCGGAGGCACTCATTCGGAGGGGTTTGGGTTGGGGAATGACCGCAGGCATCGTGGGACTGGACGCTTTGAGGCTCACTTGTGGGACAAGACGGGATGGAACCAGAAGCAGCACAAGAAGGGGAAGCAAGGTGTGCGCTAGTTTTAGTTCAGGCTTCTCTTGGAGGTGGTTGTGCGGGCTAGCCTTCTTTTGTTTCTACTTTTATTTTTTGTTTTTGGCGATTAGCTTATCAATGGATTACAATACATCTCTATCCTCTCCTCCCACAGTTCCCGTTCCTACTGCTCACGCGAAATCTCTCCTCCACCTAGAGTTTGAAAATCCTACCCTTCCCATTGTGGAGTCTTCTCAACACGGTCTCCGCTCCTGTCCCCGCTGATCTTTTGTAAAGTACAGTTGTCACACGGATTTTATGAGTTTCTAAACCAATGGTAGCTATCTCAATCCGTTCTTTATCTCTCCCCCTCCCAATTCGCATTTTGAGCGCAGTCGTGGTAGAAAATAAAATAAAAACAAAAGACGTTTCTCATCTGGGGCCTTCCATTACCTCGCTAATTATTAGAACCGAGTGGAGAGAGATCGTAGTCAGAATGACCCAGTTAAAAGTACGTGTTCTGCTCGGTCCATGGGCTTGCACAAGTCGCTAATCTTATTGCAAGTCGCGTAGATATTTGAGAGTCTAGGTTAATTTTATGTACAACCCGGACTCGCAGTTTTTACTGGTTGCCCAAATCACTCCATTAAGTCTATGCCATAGAGATTACTCAATGGTCATGTTTGTTCAGTTAGTTCTGGGGTAAACTTCTTTTGCCCACTGTAATGCACGTGTTCGTGGGATTCAGTGTATCTTGGTGCCTATGAGAAAGAGACTGCTGCTGCTCGGGCTTATGACATGGCCGCTCTCAAATACTGGGGCCCTGAGACAGTGATCAACTTTGAGGTTTAATCTTTGCATGCTTTCTTTGTTTTTGTTCTTGTTCTTGTTCTTGTTTTTTTTTTTTTTTTTTTTTTGTTATTAATATTATTATTATTATTATTATTATTATTATTATTCAGTAAAATGCGGTTTCGATTCCGTAGTGTGGAACCTTCAGCAGATACGTGCTCGAAGTGATTCAGCCGCACTAATGGGTTAACCTGAAATGAGATTTGACGTATTTGCGGTCCAACAGACAGTTGATTCGAATCCATGACTCTTTTCGTTGCAGTTGGAGGATTACACCCAAGAGCTGAAAGAAATGGCCAAGATTTCCAAAGAGGAATATCTCGCCACTCTTCGCAGGTCTGTACTTTCTCGTCATGGTCTTGTAAACTTGAAAATTCAAGTTAGGCAGAAATTGTAGTGGAAGAGTGTCCGCGGGGAAAATGTTTATTTAGTTTACATGATTTTGGTCATCATGATGAGGAAAGAGAAGTATCTGAACAGGAAGAGCACTGGTTTTTCAAGAGGAGTTTCCAAGTATAGAGGTGTTGCAAGGTAACACAAAATTTCGGTCTTTGTCTTATGCTGCAAATTGTTTCATGAATTGTAGATCGCTTCAGACCTTTCTGGTGTACATTTGATGGACTGTCTATTGGTTTGTGATTGCCTTTGCCTGAAGATGCTGCCCCCGTGTACATCGAAGGTAACAGATGTGCAAAGATGTTTTCTTAGTTTGTTAGCCTGATGGAGATTAGCTCAAGCAATCAGAATCATGGGCATTTTGCAGACACCATCACAATGGACGGTGGGAGGCCCGCATCGGGCGAGTGGAAGGAAATAAATACCTATATCTGGGAACGTTTGGTAGGCTTTTCAATTCTTTGAAGCCCTTTCCTTAAAAAAGCGAACTGAAGAGGTGCGAACATATTGAATGCAAAGAAATTGACTAACGCTAAAAATAAATTAAAAAATTAAAAAAATATAGGTACACAAGAGGAAGCCGCTGAAGCTTACGATAAGGCTGCGATCAAATACCGTGGTGCCGCTGCCGTCACAAATTTTGAGTTGACTCACTACCCTGAGCTTGCAAAGTGAGTAGCAGAACTCATTACAATACTCAATGCATTTCTTTTTTTTTGCTGTTTTCGCGGTTTTTGTTTTAAGAAAAGGATCATAAAACTACACTTATCCTCATCCCATACTCATTGTGTGTAGGGACATTCCATTGAAACAAAGGCGAAAGAACTGCGTCACAACGGCCACTTCTACAGACAGCAAGCCAGTCACAAAAGTGGATGGAAGTCCATCTAACAATCCAGACGTACTGGAGAAGGCGAACCAGAGTAACGTTCATGGGCTAAAGATGATCCAATGCCCTCAACCTCCATCTTGCTTGGACGATTTGGACGATTTTCATGTGCAAAGGAAGCACCGTCTTCAATTCAAGCAAGAGGCCCAAAGGATTTCTTTAGATGATTTCTGTTTTGAAGGGCATTCGGAGGATGTCCACACGAAGAGCGCAAGGAATTTCTGCTCTTTCTCTCATATAAAAGATGAAGACCTTCCTGACTTTTACACAGACCCTGAAGACTTGTCGATAGATTATTTAGACTCGAAAGCTGATGTGTTGGGGGTCGACTATGAGGACTATTGGCTTGCGGATTTGGACAGTGTGTATTCTGGCTGCAGTTCGTGTATGTTAGAAGGTGTTCAATCGCCCATTCTGGCCCGTGGGTGAATACCACTCTTTGGATGAGATTGTATACTAATTTAGTAGGGTGCAAGCGTCACAGTTGTTGAGGTTAGTGAGGATAATGGGTAGCATAGAAAAACCACATTACAAGAAGTCCACCACTTCTAGGATAGTACTAGGCTTAGACCTAATTTTGAGGTATGTAAGATATACAGGTGGATTGGTGGATGCTTCCAATTTTCAAAAGAAAGTAAACTCCATTTTTTTATTTTCAGGAGTGTGTTTTGATCCATGGCTGTATATCTTATAGTTACATGTCTTGTGGTGAAAATCATCAAACTGGGTTGCCATACCCATATCTTGATATACTTTCTTACCTCATATGTGTTGTTTTTTTCTTTCAATCTAACAATGTAATGTGAAGGCATTAATGAAGAAAATATGGAGTGGCAACCGCATGAAACAAGTCATATAGTTCGGGATTCAGGACTGAAATAAAACAATGGAAGATAAGTAGTGTACGAACTAGGAAACAACCATATCCAAGCATGAATTTACTTAGACAGTTAAATATATCTCAGATGGCTGAAAACATCTTAAAAATTTCAATGTTAATTTTATGGCACCCAAGAATTTCACGTAGTGGAATAATTATGCACGATCTACTAAAAATATGTTGTCTCGAAAATGAAGTATAGTAGATGACAATCGTCAGGCTATTAAATTTGCTCTCAAGGGTGTTAAGATACATGTAGGCTTGTAAATACTTTGACTATAAATGTAACGAGTTATCCCCACTGTAAAATAAAAATAAAAATAAAAAGCCTGAAAAAGATGACTCTTAGAACATGATACCAACCACCTAGTACTTAACCACATGTAAGGAAGGCTGAGATTCAATCAGGGCTTGGATTAGGACGATTCTCTTCCAAATATTTTTCTGAGCACACAACCTTTATCGCACGATAAAAGCGGTACAAAACTTACCTTCAAGGTTGCCTAACATAATTACATTACTCTTGGCAAATACAATACAGGCTTTGTAATATCGAACCATTTCTGAACATCCAACGCCTCCTCTCTTCCTATCTGGTGCTAATGCAAACCAACCTTTCATTTCGCACAACATCAAAAGAAAAGTTGTTTGCGCAATACCAACTGAGGGTCCGAGATACAAGTCCACAGCGCACAATGTGCTTTTCAAAAATCAGTTTGTAAAGTGTAAGATCAATACACACTCATATTTAACCGTGTTAGCAAAAGGTGTCACAATGACACAAAACACCATTGAAACAGTCTTAGTTACTTGTACTTTTGTATAAAACTTTGATATTCTAGCTTCCCCGCATATCATGAAGATTACGAATAGTGAACGAAATATGAGCTTTATGTCGGTGACTGTTTCGCGAAGTTTGCTGCCAGTTTGCCTTCTGGGTATCATGCTTCAGTTGCACAACTTTGGCTTTCCGGCGTCAGTGAGAAAGAAGCTCGACACGACCTACACGTCAAGCCCACAGAGACATTCTGAAGCGGTGAACCTGCAACAAACCCAGTCCCATCACCTGTGATCGATGGAATGATGGCAGCAAAGTCGCTTGGATGCCCTTGCTTTTGATCCCAGAGTTAGCGGCATTGGAAAGCCTTCCGTCGCAATCTCTATGTTGCGATATACTTGCTCACTGGAGCGCTGATTGATGCAGGCCGATCCACAAAATGATGCCAATCATCGTCGAAAGCCATACGCCTGGCATGAACGTGAATCATGAATTTGCCTTCATTTCTGACCTTGGCTCTGTACAAGCGAAAGTGTGGAAGTTGTTTTAAAACTGTTTTCGAAATGCTGGACTTCAGAATGGTAAGAGGTAGAGAGGGTAAGAGGAAGGCAAAAGATTTGCAAAAATCCATGTGAGATGTGTGATGTGTGAAGGCACTCACTGCTTTAAGGTAACTCATATATAAAGAAAAGGCATTTAAGTACTGGCAGAGCAGTACATGTACTGTAGCGTTATACATAGAACATACTGAATACATAGGACATATGGAATATGTACAGACCTAAATATGAGGAGCTGGGATTATATCAGCACCCTCCCTAATCTTAGCCCTTGATTGGAGCAAGGATTTAAGCCTTTGAGCTTAACTTAGAAGTTATGCAAAGCAAAGCACTTAAGTAGAAATTCAAACAAAGTTCTTCTGTTATTCTTGTTGTTTTAGAGCAAGTTTGTGCAAGTTTGGTGGTGATTTGCTATAGTAGTTGTATTCTTTTTAGATAGGTAGTGGTGCTTATGGTGTCATGTTGTAACACAATTATATGGTGAAAGACAAAAAATATGAGTTTTTTTTTTTTTTTTTTTTTTTTTTTTTTGCAAAACATGGATGATAAATAGGAAGGTAGTAATTTTTTTTTAGTTTCATTGCTGTTATTTTATAAAAAAAGATTCTATTTACTTTGTATGGCCATAAATTATGCAAAAAAGAAGTAGATTAAAGAAAAATAACATAAGCATTTTTAGGAAGAAGTTAAAAGTAGTTTGTAGCAAAAATTAGCTTAAGAAACCAAGAATTGAAACTCTAAGAAGATCAATTGAGAACTAGGATCAAAATCAAATCTTAAAGAACAAAGTCATGCACACATATTTAAAGAATTTATAAAAACTATAGTAGATAGATATGTCAAAATTTGTTGGTTTGTAAATGTTCTTGTCTTAAATGTGTTTTGAAAATTTAAGGTCAATCAAACAATTAAATTAAAGGATATTCCAATTTGATTAGATTAGGATCTCAGATATGTAATTTTTAGGATTAGTGAGGTTTTTTGTGATCTTGAGCAATGAATTAATTAGATTGAAGCAAAACTTTGTAAAAGTATAGAAAGCTTAAGCTTCTGCAATCTAGTCAATTTAAAGAAAAATTGAATAGTTAAATAAGGAGTAATTGCTTCTAAAAGATTGATATTAAGGTTGGAGAAAAAAAACAATTAATACCTAAGAAAATTAAAAGTTCTTTTTTTCAATTGATAAGTTTGATTTTGATTTAAAATGTATATGTTTAATATTTATTTAAAGATTGAAATGTATGATTTTTTTAGTTAAGATTAATAATTTAATTAATAGTTATTGAAGTTTTAAGAATGCTATAATGATTTAGTTAAGAATTATTTATAATTTAATTAGAATTTATTTAGGATTTGATTAAAATTTGATTAAAATTTGATTAGTATTTTTTAAAGGTTTGATTAGGATTTGATTTTAATTTGATTAGAATTTAATTAGAATTTGATTAAGGTTTACTTAAAATTTATTTGGTATTAGATTAGACTTTAATTATAGTTTATTTAAGGCTTTTTTTTAGTATTTCTTTAATATTTCTTTATTTATTTTTAAGATATTTATTTTTAATATATTTAAGGATTTTTAAAATTATTTCTTTAAATTTTCTTTAAAAAATATTTTTAAAGATTTAATTATGGTTCTTTTTGATGATTTCTTTACAAAATCTTTGTAATCTCTTATGATTCTTTTTTAAAATTTCTTTAAGATTTCCAAAGAACTAATTAATATTTTATTAAGATTATCAAGATTAAATTGAAGATTATCTAAGATTCTATTAGAGTTATTAGGACCTTGTTATTGCAATTTTTGATTTATCTTCCACAATCAAGTCCTAAATGCATTTTCAAGCAAAACAACACCTATTAAAACAACAACGTTTCTTTTTTGATGTCAATGATTCACTTGAGATCCTTTAAGATTGTAGCTTAGAAGTGTATTTTTTGCGATTGAGAAGCAATGATAATATTCAAATTCTATAGGATTTCTCCACATTCTTAGAATATAACTATAAATTAGCAAAAAAAAAATCTGATAACATTAATCAAGTTGCATGTGTCACCTACATGTCAAGTTTCATGCTTAAGAGATAAAAATATTGGAGACAAAGATGATTCTTCTTCCTTAATTATTGAGTTATATTTCTTCAATATAAGATATGAGTTTTTTCTCTTTATCCTTCTTTGTCTTTTTAATAAGTCTTTTTCTTTTTCTACTCATAATGGCATGACCTTATCTTTTCTTCAACTATTGGTTGTAATAGTTGTGAATTTAGATGCTAATTTTGTCATTCAAAATTTTGATTTTTCTCAGCATTGAATATTTTGGAGAGTAAGTAAGGTTTAGTTGTAATTGATTGATTTTATTTTTGAAGGGTGTGTTACAAAGGTTATTAATTTAGATAATTTAGACAAGGATTATTGTCCTAAGATTTCAGCAAAGTTCTTGCATATTCATATGTATTAGTTTCTTGTTGCTTCTTCTAGTCAACATTAGACTTATATTACTTATCAATCTAACTTATTATTTTTTTATTTTTCTTTCTATCTTACTTCCTATCTACTAAGTTCAAATTTTTTTCTACACTCAAATTAATCTTTTTAAATTGGCAGTTAATCAACTAGTATTCAAGTCATCTTTCCTAGAATAATAGCAAGAATTATAATAGTGATGACTCTACAACCATTGAGATATCAATTTAAAAGCAATAAAATGCATTGAAAAGATAATGGAATCTAATTTAAAAATATGAAAATTTAAATTAGAAATCTATTTTTTAAATCATAATATAATATCTACTATCTTATGTTGCCACTTCTTGCTAAAATAATTGCTTTCATTCTCTTGAGCATACTCTTAATCGAGGTTTGAAGTTGCTCTAAAGATATTCCATTCTAACTTGATTGAATGGTTTGTATTTTTTTTTTTTTTTTTTTTTTTTTTTGGTCTATAATATTGCTGCACTAAATCTTTGATAATCTTCTACAATTTTTTTATAGATTTCAACTTTGAAGAGTTTGGAGGCGAAATTAGTTTTGTCATATCATAAGCTTGTTTTTATTGTAATGGAAGTAAAATACAATAGATTGGAGCTCGATCTTCTATAAGTTTCAATTGCTTAGGGAGATTATGTAAAAAATAAAATCCATATAATGCTTTCTTATAAAAAATTGTTACAAAATTTCTTAATGTTTTTTGTTTGGAGGTAAAATAATAAGATGACATTTATCAAAGCCACTGAATGCACTTCAAACCATCAACTAACTATGACTAGAATTAAAAATTGGTGTTATATAATTTCATGTGTATTTTTTGTATAATTTTTGCTACATTCTAATTTGCCTTGAATTCTTGCCAATTTGAATGACAACTTGTCTGACTAAATTATATTGTACCAATCTTTAAAATTCTAACTTTGTCATGGACATACGCATGTAAGCCAATAATTACATGTATAAATAGGTATAAGTAAGTAAAAATAGGTAAAAGTAAGATAATTCTAGAATATTTGCTATGAAAGATTTTTAGAAGTTTCATAGAGGCTGTTTTGACTATATAGCTGACTTTAATTGACTTTTTGGATTAAAAATATGGTCAAAAAGTTGGCCATGTGCCACACATGTTAGCTTAAAGACCAAGCTAACAATATGGTCCACACGTAGAAAAACTTGCCTAATAAGTCAAGGCATGTGTCCTACAAAGTCAACACATATTGGAGGTCCTATAGAACATCGCCACATAGCCCCTAATTAGATAGTATATATAGAGACAAGAGTGAAGCCCTCTTCATTCTTGTCAACTTCTTTCTTGCTTCTAGTCTAGTTTCTCTAGTTTTCTTATCTTTTGGCAATAGCCATTCTAGTTTCTTTCTTAATATACATATTGAGTTATTTCTATTATTTCATCTTTCTTTGAGAGAAGTCTCACTTATTTATTTATTTTTATCAAGTTCTTATTCTTGACAGATTGACAAGAGTACACTTACAATATCAAAGCTTTGTCTAATCTTGATTAAGTCTAGATTACCCCTTTTTCTTGATAAGACATAAGGGTATTAGAAGTTGTGGATTACCTATTGAAGAAAAAAAGTCTAAAAGCTATAAATACTTAGCATCAGTAAGGATTGTAGTCTAAAAGAAGTGTGGAGAAAGATAATTCTTACTTCCAACACTCTTTACTTATAGGTGGTGGTTTGCTCACCAATGAGGAAACTTCCATCCTTTTGATATTACATCCATTTCTACCTCATCCAACTAAATCCTTCGTGCCACCACAGTAACTTACTTTAATTCTTTACTATCTTTTTACTATTAGCAACATACTATGCTTAATCTCTATGTGGTTGTAACTAAGCAAGTACTTGCTGATCTTCAACATTACCCTCTTCTAAACTGATATTGTCCTTAGTATTTTCTTTGTTCTCAAGTCCTCTCTTCTATTTGTCTTAAGCGATATTAAACATCTTTTATTCTAAGTTTTATCATGCCAGAACTTGCTAAAATGAAGAGTGCTATGGCACAAATATAAGAACAATTGAGGGAGTTAATGCTTACGATACATCAATTCAATTTACCACCATAAGGAACAATAAGATTGGTAGAAAGTAAAGATATAGAAATGATTGGAGCTGCTTCAATATCTGTACTAAATCATGTCCCTTCTCCTATAGTGGAACACCCTTCCATTGTTAGAGAACCTAAAATTGTCCTATCTGAGAAGTTTGATGGCACTAAATCATAATTTAAAAGATTTATCAATCAAATACAGCTTGTAATTGAATTTCAATGCCAAAGCTATCCAATTCCAAGATCAAAAGTTAGATTCATTAATATATTACTTTCAGATTCAATATTATCATGGTTTTTATCTTTTCTTGAATGATGAGATCCTATATTGGATAATCTAGAGGCTTTTTTGGTAGAGTTTTGATCCATGTATGGACAACATGATGCAATTTGTGTTACAATCAACAAGATC